CGCATTTGCGGTTTGAAATGTTGAAAGGAGAATAAAAGAATACAATGGAACCATATCTGAGGTCATCGAGCCAAGGCTGCTGTTCCTGGAACAGCGGAGGTTTTCTGAGGCAATATTCTTTTATTCTCTTATTATGGCAGAGCATGAGAGACGGGTGAAAAACTTGCTTCACAGCTTTTCCTCATCCAGAACAGATCCAGGGTGATAAAAGTGAACGCTGCTCCAAAGTTTTACAGCTTACCACTCTCTTTCTTACTTTCCCTTTTTCTCATTCCATTCTGCTGCCTTCCCCCCCTTCTCCTCCATCATTACTCTTACCCCTTGGGAGCAGCGGTACTCTGCTGCCCGTTGGCACTGCGGATAATAAACAACCACGAACCGCCACCCTCGCGCGACCTTAGGGCAGGAACTCCACACATACGCACCTGCATGGGCTGCTATGACAACGAGGGACCATCTGTCCGTCAAACCAGTGGTCTGAAAGAACCTGTTCTGAGGCATAAGCAAGCGGATAAACACACATACCGACTCACAGCCGCAGAGTGGGAACTAGGGTTAAAGGTTAAAGAACCCCATTTCCTGTCCAGGACAGACGAGGGCTAAACACCCCTCCCTTCACTTCCACTCAATTTCCTTTCTTTCCTCTTTATCCCTTTCTCCCCCTTTCTCCCTTGCTTTCTCTCTGAATCCAAGCTTGATATTCATTAGACTGCACAGAAATGTATTTTGTGTGTGATTGGATGCTGTGTTTGTGATGGCAGCCTCAGCTTAGTAGCCTTAGCCCATCCTAGTGATTATTAACAAAGCAGCCTTTTCTCACAGGAGCTCGAGCAGACCAAAGGCTGATTTCATAACACATGATGGAGTAAGCTAATCTCTCAAACTAACTGCAGTCTACTCTCAAGAGCTTCATTAAAAGGGCATGATCTTATGTTACACAGATTTCAAAAGAGGCTTTGCGAAAGATTCTCATTAGTCACTATTACAAACCAGTTCTTCAATTTGGACTCTGTATTAAATCAGCAGCCTATAAAGAAACCTCTAAAAGAAGTCTTTAAGAGCTTTTCACGTGGCCAAATATGTCTAGATATGATTTCATGCATTCAAACTACTTGAGGTTAATTTATCCTCTGCCGTTTAACCAGCCTCAAAACTGGACACATCCCTTGCAAAAAAAGAGACCAAACCGAGCACACTCCTGTGTTTATCAAGCATCCAGAATATATTTGACAACTATTTCGCCCATGTCTGCTGCGCAGCGAGCCTCTGTGGTGCAGTGCCGGTCTGGTAATAAGGCTGTGTGCTCTGCTGTGCCGAGATTAATGTGAAGACTTATTGATGTAATGACGGAGCCATGAAAGAGCACTCTGGGCCGTGGTTTGGGTCCAACACATGAGCCTAATGGACTCTGTGTGTATGTTAGTGTGCATGCGTTACATCTGTGTGTATGTGAGTGTGTGTAAATGTGGTTTGGACAGAAACAGATGAAATTAATTGAGAGGTTTTGCGTTCATAAGAAGGGACTTTGAGAATTGAGTCTGTATATTTCTGTAAGATTCCCTCGTCTGTGACCTTAGGTGTGTGTTGATAAGTTAGTGTGCCTG